TTTGTCCACAGAATGCAACGAAGATGTATTACTTACATTCCTTTTAATGGCGTGGCGGATGTCTCCTTGATAAACTGCGTTCGTCGTACGTGTTTTAGCAGTTATTTTATCTCTCATAATTGTACTGTCGATAACAACGTGACCCATAAGATCCCGAAATGCTTCGAACAATGTAATCAAACTTGTGTAATTTTTCGAAGCAGAAAGGCATAAATTATTGGCAGAGCGTAATTCAACCTCTCATTTACTTAAACTGGTATTGTTTGAAGCTTCAACCAACATATAATGACGCAAGCAATTCGTATTTCACACGGTTAGTAACATGAGTGTCGTCAGCACGAACGACATGCGAAAATCGGCGGGACAATTCTATATGTGAATGCCGAGCGGATAATACGGGCATGCATACGTCTTTCTCTAAAATAAGTAGCGCCACACCGCATTCTCCATAGACCTGTTGACTGATGCAATTTTGCTTCAGATAGTAGAAAACATCAATATATTTTTCACTCCAGGTTAGGCGGTAGGTTAAAACGAACATTGTGGACAACCTTGCTGGTAATATGTTGTCCAAATCGTACCTCGGCGAATGGCGTGATGTCACTTGTTGTTGGGGTGTAACGGAAATGTTGAACGGACCGACTGAACTCATCCTCCATGGGGCGGCGTTTGAGGGGGTGTCGTGTAATAAGAAAATGATTGACGAAGTGTTTGTGAGACGGGTCGGAGGTTGGGACTTCCCACCAAGCACACTGCAGGTTAACCGGATCTGCGAATAGCGACCTCCTGCGTGTTTTGTTCTGTTCTTTTGAGACAGGTCATTGGATCATTGGATCGAGTGATTATGTCTAACTCACAATGTTTGCATTGTGCGAAAGTGGTGACTAAGGGTATCCAGTGCATTGTCCGCAAACTCTGGGCATGTGGGCAAAAGCGTTGCTCGCAACTTACTGAACCGCTCTTCAAGACCTATGCTGAACACAAGGGTTTGCTATGGATTTGTCGATATTGCATCGATGCTGCTGCGTTGGCAAGACGTCCGCCACATCAACATCCTGAAAGACGTCCTTCTGCTCCTTCTGCTAGGCGTGCCAGGAAGCGGAGCAACACATCTTCCATCGAGGCTCCAAAGGTCGCGGTCACCCCCGCCCCGTATACTTCTCATTCAGACCCATTGATACACATCCGGCCTGTTGAGCCTACGACGAAGTCATATGCGGACGTAGTGAAGGAGAAAGCGACTTTGGCCTCGTGGGGCCAAGGTCCAGCCACATGTGTCACCAAGGCTAAGACTAAGTCTTTGAATAAACCTGAGCTTCCATCTTCGCAGTCACAAATGAAGATAGTTCTCAACAGAATCTCTGAGCTGGAAAAAGTGATAAAGGAAAATCCAGCATCTCGTAAGCCACCAATTCCAGAGCGCATTCAGCCATCTCGTGACCGCTGTCTCATCATCGTGAACGCCGCGGAATCGGAAAAGGCTACCTCGGCGGAACGAATGTTGGATGATCAAATACTGCTCGAAAGGATGATTTCTCTACTGTTTGATGCAGGCGAACAGGGAATAAACATTGTCTCTGCCTTCCGCCTCGGTAAGAAGCAGGAAAATTCCTCCAAGGTTCGACCCCTCAAGATTGTATGCGGAAACAAAGAGGAGTGCGCGCGCATCCTTCGACGGACTCCACGTCTCAAAGGTGAACATTTCTACGTGTTACGAGACCTCTCTCCCGAGGACCGAATTAAAATGAAGAAGGTTGTAGAGGAGCTCCGAACGCGCCGGGCGAGTGGTGAAACCGACCTACATATCGTGGATTTTTGCGTAGTTCGGTAGAGCACAAGAGTGCGCTGGAGGCCGATTCTTGTCACCCCCAGACAGTAAAGCATAAAAACGGACTACGCGTGCTATCTGCCAACGTACGCAGTCTAAGGAATAAACTAGACGAAATTCAGTTGCTTACTTCGGAGACTCGTCCAGACCTGATGGCCTTCACCGAAACCTGGCTATTCTCAGATATCACGGACTCGGAAGTGTCTATCCCTGGATATCACCACTCCGGTCCGATCGCCACGGGGTGAGGTCAGGTGGTGGAGTAATTCTCTACTGGAAGACAGATCTCAAAGTACATCTAGTTGAAGCAATCAGTGACCAGGATGACAATTTCGAAGCCCTCTGGTGCCGTGTTCATGACGGATGCAGATCTCTCTTGGTCGGTGTCGTCTACAGAGCGCCTTCGGGTCCCGGAGCACGCTTGTTGGACTCGATAAGAATGTATGGTGGGCACAAAGACTGTTTAATCTTGGGGGCTTTCAATGCACCGGATATCAATTGGGACCTACTTATTTGTGATCGCCGATCTGACTCTTTCGACGCCACACTGCTTAAAACCGCTCTCGATTGCAGCCTCGTTCAACATGTCTTGACGCCTACTCGTATTTTTCCAGACCAGACCCCGCACATCTTGGATCTCGTGCTCTCCCCGGCAGATTCAGATGTCACGAACTAAACCGTTCTTCAACCCATAAGCAAGAGCGATCATTGTGTTGTTTCATTCCACTGGACTCGCTGTCTCACGATCCATAGCCACGGTGGTCACCGTCGAAATTTTTGGCGTGACGTCCCACTCCGTCTGAAAACGGCTGCAAGCGCTACGGATTGGGGTATCCCTGAACACATTCACCTCGATGACGCATGGAATCTTGTACTCTCCAAAATGACGTCGTTAATTGAGCAGGTCGTTCCTTCCTCCCATGGAAAGCCCTTCGCTAGATGTCCACCTTGGATGGATCGAGAGTTGAGGTCAAACATGAATAGAAGGCGCAAATTATGGGACCGCTATAGGAAATCTCATTCAGAACTCGACTTCTCTCACTACAAGACAGTCAGAAATGTTTGTGTCACAATGAAGCTCCAGAAACGCCAACGATACGAGCTATCCTTGGCAAAACACTCCAGCATCGCGCCTAAAATGCTCTACTCTTATTTGAAAAGAAGTACTAGAGCTGGTAAGGGTATACCTACTTTGTGTTCCTGTGATCATCAAGCTTTACTTCACGAAGACGCTGTGAAAGCTAGTCACTTGGCTAAGCAATACGCTTCTGTTTACGCGAAAGTAACGCCATTTAGTGACAGAGCCGTATCCACATTTCCATCTTCGTTGGCCCAAGTAGATATTAACACAGGTTCTGTGATGGAACTTCTTCTTCAGTTAGATCCGTATAGCTCACCCGGCCCTGATGGATTGCATCCTTTGTTCCTCAGGACTGTGGCGGAGTACATAGCTTCACCCATATGTCAAGTCTTTCGTCGCTCACTAGAAGCTGGCCGTCTTCCTTCAGCTTGGAAAGTGGGTATCGTCAAACCCATTTACAAAGGAGGAAGTCGACATGACCCGGCCAATTATCGTCCAATCTGTTTGACGACAATAGTGTGTAAAGTTATGGAACGGATCCTAAAACAAGCTGTTACTCTTCATCTTGGGGGACAGAATGTCATTTCTTCTGCCCAGCATGGGTTCAGAAAAGCACGCTCCTGTACCTCGAACTTACTCTTTGCTAACTAGACCTGGGCAAGGTCGCTAGACTCCGGCAAATGCTTGGACGTTGTGTTTGTTGACTTCAGCAAAGCTTTTGACAAAGTCCCGCATGAACGGCTCGTGTTTAAGCTCCAAGGAATCGGTATTTCTGGGAACCTCCTGTCTTGGATCTCCGACTTCCTAAACGACCGCTATATGCAAGTGAAGGTGAATGACACATTTTCTGCTCCTGTTCTCATGACGAGCGGGGTCCCACAGGGCTCTGTCCTCGGTCCCGTACTTTTCAATATTTTCATCAACGACTTACCATCTACTCTTCAGACGGATTGCCTAATCTACGCTGACGACCTAAAGCTATGGATGGAAGTATCAAGCCTTGAAGACGCCGACCGATTACAAACTACGCTCAATCTACTCCATGACTGGTCGATTAAGTGGCAGTTGCCCGTAAATCGTGATAAATGCTCTGTTCTCCCCGTTGGCTCATCAAACCCATTTGGAACTTACCATATTGGTGGTTCCTTGCTCAGAAGCGCAACCCAAGAGAGGGATCTTGGAGTGATAGTGTCATCAGACCTCAAATCTGTCCAAGACACCCAGAAGAGGGTCGCCGCGGCCTACAGGATGTTCCATTCTATTCGTAGAGGGTTTTCTCTCCTGACCCCGGGACTTTTCCGACTCCTCTTTGGCTCGCATGTACGCCCGATTCTCGAATACGGACTACCCGCTGCCTACCCTCTCACCAAATCCGAATGTGATATGATAGAGAAGGTTCAACGGCGTGGATCCAAATCCGTCCCTGAGTTGCGAGACCTGTCGTATCCACACCGACTTCAACGACTGAACTTGTTCTCTCTAGGCTACCGCCGTCACCGAGGAGATTTGATTTTCACTCGACGTATTCTCAGGGGAGAACTGGGTTGCGAGTTACAGGACTTCTTTCAACTTAACACTGAGAGTTCGACACGAGGACACCGCATGAAACTGTTCAAACCGAGAAATCTCCGTGTGCGGCTCAATTTGGCCTTATCAACTCGCGTGGTGAATGATTGAAACCGGTTGCCGGATCCTGTTGTTGATGCTGAGACAGAGGAACGTTTCAAACAACTGTTAGATTCTCACCTGAGCGCGCTGGGATTCTGTTGCCTCTAAGGCAGCTACAGTGGTCCTCTGTGGAACCTTCTACCGCAATGACCCACGCCATCTCCGCAATGATCGGGAAGTGAAGGAGCTGACAAAGGATCTTCCTTCTGCTCTCTATCATCCAATGATCCAATTATCCAAGTGCTGTGAAAATGCTGTGTGTTGCATTCAGCTACGGATAAGCCGTAGGGAAAACGCAAAACAAATTTAACGTCACTATACATATACACTAGCTAATTAATGTACATTTATATTTTATTTAGCACTTTGAATAAACGCACGCATTTGGAACCATTTTTCGTTATAGTGAGATAATGAAGGTCATTTTCTGCTGTACCGTGCACCGACCTGTGCGGATCTCTAACGCTTCAGTATCGCGGTAGCGGGTCAACAAGTTAGTTGTCTTCCAGCGGAGCCTCTAATTTGAGCGTAGTTTTCTCTTCACTTTTTCATTTCACCTCTTAGGTGTTGTTGTATTAGCATACCGTCGTACGCTTTCATGTCATTCATATAGTCGCCTCGCGCTCGGTCCATTTTCGGCATCTGTGGCAGTGTGTAGTGCCCTAAAAGATAACTGCTATCTTTTATGTACACTTTAATTGTTGACCGATTGTACATTACTCATTGTTTTAATCTTCCTTATAATCAGCTCGTCACTCAACAGTCTTGTAAGTTCCCACTCTCAAGTGTACGCTCTCGCCTCGCTTCATCCGTCCGCTTCTTATTGTAGCCCATCAAATACAATCCGCTGTGTCCGACTCCCATTGACTTCTGATATCCGCGCATACTTTCGCGCACCGTCTCGGACTAGTATTAACTAATACTACAAGTGCTGCCCAGCTATCCACCAGATGTCGCATAAGCACACCAACCATCTAGCTTCGACACTTAATAGGTGCTTTTCCAGCCTCCTACGAAGGATATCTACCTTTCAACGTTCCGTCTACTACCACCCGCGTACGACCGCGGAACTGGAAGTCCTCGGAACACTCGACCGGAGGCATATTACAGTAATGTCCTGTTGTGGCATTCTTTTTGCTATCTAAGTGTGTTCCTCAGTTACTAACTGTTGCATCTCCTAACTACATGTATATGGCACTTTCACGTATAAGGTATGAAATAATGCGTTTCACAGTAATGTTTAAGAATTGCGAATTCACTTAGCCGTCAGAAGGGACGATGCGCCGTCATCCTCCATTGTCTGCGTAATGTTGCTGCACAACGTGCAATTTGAAATACGCATCGACAAGCACTGTTCTTGACGGAGCCGTTGGCGAATGTATTAATGCCACTGTATGACACTGTATTGTAGCGACTGTAACTGATGTGGAATTTTCTTTAGACGTGTAGGGATTAGATGCCATCAATTTCAAGTTGGTAACCAAGTCAGAGGAAAGTAAGAAGCTTGGTGCCTTTTAAGACAGTCATATAGTTGATCGAGTGCCCATGCAGTTAAATAAGGGCGCATCTCGCCAAAATCATGGCGCAGCTTTGGATGCTTTCCGGTATTATGTATTTACAATTATGCACTCTTTGTAGTCCTTCCTCAGGAATTTCGCTATGTAACGTGAGATGTCTACGCTTTGAAAACCACTGTGAGGAAGCTGACGGAAGCAGTATGGCAAACTGCTTCCTACTCGACAATAACCCTCCGACTACTAGTATCAACTGTAGGACTCCAGAATTTGGATACCTGCCTGACTGATGAAAACTAAAAAACTAAAGCTGCTAAGCGCCGCATGCATGGTTTATTGGGCATCTACAGCTCCAAGCTATCGCAGAAATCGTTGCACGACGCCCGGCGTAGAATTATATCCGCCTAACAAACAAACAATTTTATGGCGCACACGACCCCTGCACTCTACTGACTAACTGTCTACTCCATTCTGAAGGGTAACACATTTTACCCTCTATGTGCAATGATGGACATGCGTATTAACACAACGCTTTTCCGATATGGGAATCACGTAGGCAATGGTTTGCTCTTTTATGCGAACGTTTTTACACAATGTGCGATCAAACTACGTACTTCGACCAAATGGAGAGGAACTTGAGCGCAACTACAGAGGTAGCATATCTGTATTCCTTTGCGAATGTAGCTTGCTTCCAGGGTTCCCATCGTATAGCCAATGAGCCACTCCGACAGGAAAACCTATAGCCCTTCGTTCATGTACATGTTATTTAATCTATAATTCTTTTTCAGACGCGGTTTCTGTGCCTCATTTCCTATCATGCACATGTATCCTGTTCCTTGCCGACTGGGTTTTCACACTGCCGTTTACAATGTAAGTACCGCCTAGGCGTGTCACGCGAAGCTTTCATTACCTTAGATGCTTGTAACTTTCGTGCCTTTGTGATACCAAGTGCCTTTAACTATGCTTATCAGTCGGTCCTATAAGGGGAATCCTTTTCACAGGTTCGCATATATGTAGCTTGCACGGGGTAGGCTACCCGAACATATGTACGAAACTCATGGGTGCAGCTGACCATTAGGAAAACGTCCTTGAAGTCACAAGCCGCCAGACATTGGTGCACCTGCCATTTGACCCTGAAACAAAAATGGCTGTAAACCAGATATACACGCTATAAACCAATACAACGCTTTTTCCAGCTTTTTCCACACAGGCTGTAATGTCAGCATTTCTTTGTAAAAGTGCTGTAAAAGTCTGCTGTGCTGTGCGCAAGTTGAAACTTGTGTCCAAATCTGATGAGGTTCACACAAGCTTTGGAGTTAGTGTCACATATGTTGAGATTTAGAATAATAGAAGTAAAGCATGCTAAACACGTCTCATTGTTCTTTTTGGCTTCCGATGTGTGCAGTGGACACAGCGATAAATGACCCTGTCGTACTGCACGCTCGACACACCCTTTCTGCTGCTGCAGCATACGAAATTGTCGTAATGAAGCACAATGTCCAAAAACGAACTATTCAACTCATCAGCACTCGAAAGAATGTCCAAGAAGCTGTTCCGGAAATCAAACTCCATCGGATCATGGTTCTAACCAAATAGTTAGGCCTATAAGCTGGTAAGGGTAGTACCTCGCCCACTGACGAACCATGGACTTACAACACAACCTTTCACCCGCTGTCTTGCTGTTACCATGCTATCCACTCATGTTACTACGACAACTGCACAAGCACACGCCACCATTTTACCTACTTCCCGTGTCCCATTCACACCCACTTTTACCTGATTCCTCTACAACGATCAATCCCACCTACACTGATGAACCTGTTCCCGTGACATCTGCCAACTCAACCACACAGTACTCAACAGAGAGTTGCCGGCCCCAAAGTCGCCTATCTTCGCTCCTGCAACCCGGAACGCAGTTCAAACTTGCAGCTTTTAACGTACGCACATTACTGCAGATCGGTCAGCAAGCTGGAGTTGCACGCACGCTAGAGACCCTTGGAATTGATATCTGCTGCCTGACTGAAGCACGACTCCAGGACTCTAACTCGGTCTACCAGCTGGTGTCACCGCTGCATCCACGCACCCGGTTCCATCTCCGCCACTCTGGTGACGCCGAGTCTGCCGCATCTGGTCAAGCTGGTGTTGGAATCGCCCTCAGCGCTAGAGCCGAGACTGTTTTGATTGATTGGATTCCGATCAATAGCCGCCTTTGTGCGATGAGGCTCCATGGCTCTTGTAAGGTCAGCAGATGTCGAGTCGAAAAGCGTGCTCTCTTCGTGATCTCTGCCTACGCGCCCACTGACTGTAGCTCAGACATCGTCAAAGACCAGTTCTACCAGAACCTTCATGAGCTGCTCCTAAGGGCTCCTAAAACAGACATCATTGTTTTGGCAGGGGACTAAAACGCGCGTGTCGGTCGTCTGCTGCCATGTGAGCGCCACCTCGGAGGACCGCATGGATATGATGATGTTCGCTCAGACAATGGAGAGAGACTGCTCAGTCTGTGTGCTGATCATCAACTATTCCTCTCCAGCACCAGTTTTCGTCATCCTGGACGCCAGTACGCCACTTGGCGCCCCCCATCATCAACCCAGCGCTGGTCACAGATTGACCACATAGCTATAAGTCGCAGGTGGCGCGGCAGTGTACGCGACTGCCGATCATTTTGGTCAACATGCGTCGACACCGATCATGCACTGGTGTGTGCGACCGTTTGCATGCGTTTTGGTGGTTCGCCTAGGTCAAAACACACCCGACTGAACGCCTACAAGTTGGAGGACCCAATGGTGAAGAGAGATTATCAACAAAAGCTTCGCGAAAAGCTCCCTCTCTCTCACACTCTGGATGTTGATCAACACTGGTCAAGTCTCCAACAAGCCTTGTTGTCGGCCGGTTTGTCCAGCTGTGGCCTCACTCGCTCCACTCCCAAAAGCTGGATCTCGAGAAGATCATCAGAATTGCTGGATCGTCGACGGGCGGTGCCTGCTGGCGCAGAGTACAACGAACACCGCCGGTCTATTACGCAACAGCTGAAAGCAAGCCTTCGCTCTGATCGTGAATCTTGGTGGTCAAAACAAGCTGGTGAGATGGAAGCCGCTGCATCAGCTGGCAACTTCCGCCGTCTGTTTTACATCATCAGGGCCACTGGTTGCAATTTCCACGCTATCAGCCAGACGATTTGCGAGGCAGACGGCACGAAGATCACCAACCTTCGCAGACGATTGGGTCGCTGGTCAGAGCATTTCGCTCTTCAATTCAACCACCCAACACAGTCCCCTGCGACACCTCCAGCCCCAATGTATGATGCTTGGCCTGTCTCCACAGCCCCCCCCCCAAATGAAGCAGAGATTCGAAATGTAGTCCAATCTTTGAAACGCCACAAAGCTTCGGGTCCCGACAACCTATCACCAGCTCTATTCAAAGATGGTGGGAGTGTACTTATCAGCGAAATCCTATCGCTGTTCACGAAAGTTTGGACTGAGGAGAAGGTTCCGAGCTCATGGGTAGAATCGGTCATTGTCCCAATTCACAAGAAGGGTTCCCGCGACGATTGCTGCAACTACCGCGGAATCTCCCTAATCTCTGTCGCATCCAAAATCTTCGTGTCGGTCCTACTTGGCAGGCGTTCAACGACTAGAGAGGAGTTTTCCCGAGAAGAACAAGCTGGATTTCGTCCAGGCCATGGCTGCATCGACCAAATCTTCACGCTTCGGCAAGTTCTCGAACTTCGTCACATCCACCGGCGGCCAACAATCGTAGTGTTTTTGGACATCCGAGCGGCATTTGATTCAGTAGATAGGTCTGCGTTGTGGAACTGTTTACTGAAGAAAGGTGTGCCCGACAAGTTTGTAACCATCCTGAAAGTACTTTACAGTCACACGTCGGGCAAAGTTAGGGCTTACGGCACGCACTCCTCTTCATTCGCTGTGACCAGCGGTGTTCGCCAAGGTTGCCCTATTTCACCTTTCCTCTTCAATTT